TCATCCTTCAGTCCATCCATCATCTGTTCATCCGTCCACCCTTCCATCAGCCCAGCCATTCTCCATTCGCCCTTCTGTCCGTCCATCCTCCTGTCTGTCCATCCCTCTGTCATCCTATCATCCATCCATCCGTCGCCCGTCTGTCTGTCCATCCCTCTGTCATCCCAGTCCTCCCCCTTTCTGTCCACCCAACATTCATCCGTCCATTCCTCCCTCATCCTCCTGTCCGTCTATCCCTCCCCCCATCCATTCTTCTGTCCATCCACCCCTCCATCCTTCTGTCCATCCCTCCACCATCTCATCCCTCCTTCATCTCCCTGCGCACCTCCTCGCGCTGCCACCTCCAACCCAGGTGTGACAAAGGGGGGTAGGGACACAATTGACACCGGGCTCCAGCTGCAGCTCCTCTCCCAAAATGAGAGGGAGAGCTTGGGAGAGCATTCCAGGCACAGAGTGACTGGCAGCAATGCTACAGTGCCCGGGCTCTGCAGGAACAACGGAGCTCTCACTCAGCAGCCTGGAGTTGGGCTGGTGGCATCAATGGCTCCGCTCTGTTTCCAGTGAGAGGGAATCGGATCAAAGAGGGAAAACGGCTCCTTTCCCCATGGAGCTCAGCACCAAAAGCTTTGCTGCCACCCAACAGCGCTTCTCCTCCTTCCCTCCATTAAACTGTGCTGAAAGGAGCTCAGCTGAAAAGATTCGTTCCTCCACATCCTGCAGCTTGGGAGCAGGGCTGCAGGATGAGGGATGCTCTGCATCCCACTGCCAGGCTCCAAACCTTCACCTGTCAGCAGAGCTGCTTGGTGAGCCTGGCTTCGTTCTGCTGACTGCCAGCCAGCTGTGTGCACCATTGGCCAAGAATGCAACCTGTGTCCTCACTGCTCAGCGGCTGACCGTGAGCCAGCAGCGCGTCCTGGTGGCCAACAACCCCAACGGTGTCCTGGATAACCAACAGCTGACCGATGGTTGGCCAAAAGCTGACCGTGAGGCAGCAGTTCTGGTGGCCAAGAAGACCAATGATATCCTGGTTGACCAGCGGTTGGACAATGGTTGACTGTGAGTTGGAAGTTACAGCCCTGTAGCCAAGCTGGCCAAAGGTTGATCAACAGCTGATGGTGGCCAAGAACACCAGAGGTGTCCTGGTTGACCAACAGTTGGCCAACAGTTGACCAAAAGCTGACCACAAGCCAGCAGCGTGCTCCAGCGGCCAAGAAAGCCAATGGTGGCCAACTGGTTGACCAAGGGCTGTCCAACAGTGCGATCACGAGCCAGCAGCGTGCCCTGGTAGCCAGGATAGCCAATGGTGGCCAACAGGTTGACCAGTGGTTGACTACGGGGTGACCGTGAGCCAGCAGCGTGCCCTGGTGGCCACCAGTTCCCTGGAGGTGGCTGCGCAGAGCACAGCCGGCAGGGCAGGGAGCTGCTCCCACCTCTGCTCTGCACTGGGGAGGCCCCATCCGGAGCACTAGGCCCGGAGCCGGGCTCTCTAGTTTAAGGCAGACTGGGAGGTGCTGGATGAGGACCTGAGGAGGTTCCTTCCAGCTGCCGCAGCTCCGAGAGTTTTGGGTTCTGCTCCCCCAAAGCGCTGCAGAACATCCTAGGGCTGCTGGGAGGAGCGGGGGGGGGGAAAGACAGAGTGAGCAGCAAGTCCAAACCCCACAAATAAAGCAGAAAACCGGGGGGCGACCACTGACAGGGCTACGGGACACAGCTCTGCTCCTCTGGCACAGAGGATTCCCTGCGGGATTCGCCTCTTATCCCCACAGCTGAGGATTTAAGAACTGCACCACTGCAGGGATGCTGAGAGGGGCAGATTCCTCCTCGGGGGGTCAGGGCTGCCTCCTTTGGGACCTGTGTTCCTACAGCTGAGCCCCATGGATGTTCTGGGCTGCAGCTCCACAGCAGCAGCAGTACTTACACAACACGCATCGCAATGAGCAGCGGAGCCCGGCCCCGAATTGCAGCGCTGCTGGCAGGTGTGGGGAGACCATGTGGCCCCAAAAAGCAGGGGGGAGTAAGGAAAGGGTCCTAAAAAGCTGGGGGTAAAAAACAGGGAGGTCCTAAAAAGCTGGAGACTAAAGGAAAGGAAGGGGGGGTCCCAAAAAGGAAGGGGATAAGAAGGGCAACCCCAAAAAGCAGGGGGACAAAAAGGGGCAGCCCCGAAGGTAGGGGGGGGGCTAAAGGAGGCAGGGTCCTAAAAAGCAGGGGTCTGGAGGAGGGAGGATCAAAAGGGAGCCCCCCAAAAAGGAGGCTAAAGGAAAGGGGAGCCCAAAACGATAGGAGCAAAAGGGTGGTCCCAAAAAACAGGGGGCTAAAGGAAGGAGCCCCCCCAAGTAAAGATGGGGGGGGCAAAAGGGGAGGCGCCCCCACAGCGGGTCGCACCAGGCCCTGCAGTATGGGAGGGTGGGGGGCTGACCTCAGAACCCAGCTCAGACCCCACCAGGGTCCCCATCCCCATGGCAGGGCCCCAAGGACCCCCACCCGTCCCTGATCGTCCCTCACTCAGGGTCTCCTCTGCTCCCTTCCCACCTGAGGCACTTTTTTGGGGTCACCCCACACAGCCCCATTGTTAGCACCCCCCCACAGCCCCTAAAGCCCACTTTCAAGGCTCCCATCCCCTGCATGGCTACCACAGCCCCTATAGGCCTCCTATCTCCCCAGAGAGCCCCATTTTAAGACACCCCCCACCCCCTACAAGCCTCTGATCACCCCTGCAGGAAACACATTTCCTACAGGCCTCCCATAACCCCTACAGTTTCCCCTCTTCAAGGCTCCCATTCCCTATAGGCCCCTACATCTCCCCCACATCCCCTATAAGCTTCCATTCTTAAGGACCCTCTCCCCTGCAGCCCCCATCAGCCTCCTGTAGACTTTCATTTTTAAGGCCCCCTACACTCCCTACAGGCCTCCCATTGCCCCTATATATTTCCACCTCTACTACCAGCACCCCCTAAAGATCCCCTATAGCCCCACAGGCCTCCATCTCCAAGCCCCCTCCCCCCTCCTCCCTCCCACAGACCTCCTACATCCCTTACAGGCTCCTATTTTTAAGGACCCCATCCCCCTATAGTCCTCCTATGCCCCATATAGGCTGCCACCTCAAAGACCTCCCTCATCCATCCCCTATGGGCCTCCTACACCCCCTACAGACCCCCATTTCAAGGCCCCTCAGCCCCCATAGGCCCCCTATTGCTGCCATGGGCCCCCCATCCCCTCTTTAAGGCCATCACCTCCGCTAGCCCTTATAGGCTCTGTATGCACACCCCCCACCCCACAGGC